CACACACACACACACACACACACACACACACACACACACACACACACTGGAATACTACTCAGCAATGAAAAGAATGAAATCTTGCCATTTACAACAACGCAGATGGTATCACTCATATGTGGAATTTAAGAGACAAAACAGATGAACATGGGGAAGGGAAGCAAAAATAAGATAAAAACAGAGAGGGAGAGACAAACGATAAGAGACTCTCAAATACAGAGAACTGAGGACTGGTGGAGGGGTGCTGGGAGGGGGGAATGGGCCAAATGGGGGATGGGCATTAAGGAGGGCACTTGTTGGGATGACCCCTGGGTATTATATGTAACAGATGAATCACTAAATTCTACTTCTGAAACCATTGTTACACCGTATGTTAACTAGGATTTAAATAAAATTTAAAAATAAAAATAAAACAGTAGAAATAGAAAAAATGAGAAAACAATGCCTCACCCCCCCCCCAAAATAAGATGCACATCACTTAAGGAAAAAATGACTAAATGTTACTAGAGGGCATAAAATTAAAACAAAAGGATTATTAAACTCAACAGTGTAAAACCACCAATTATTCAGTAAATTCTATGCAATTTAAAACAAATTCCCAACAAGTTTATTTTTTAGGAAAACTTTTCAAGAACTCGACCCCAAATTCAAAATGAAAGAACAAAGGGTTAAGAAAGGATATGGAAGAAAAGGAGGGGGAAAAAATTAAAATACTAGGGGGAAACACCCACCAGGAAAAAACCACACATACTTTAAAAACTTGGCAAATGATAGAGAAGGTATTACATCTCAGGGGGGAACAGATAAACTATCAAAATAGTAATGCTAGAACAAAAATCCATACAGAAGAAAATAAAGTCAGGTCTTGACCTCATATCAACACCATTCATATCATTAAATTCTAGATGGATTCTTAGACCGATTAAGAAAAGCAAAATGTTTAAAAGAAGACCTAACAGGAGGGCCCCTGCTGGCTCAGTCAGAAGAGCATGTGACTCTTGATCTTGCGGTCACCAGTTTGAGTCCTACGCTGGGTGCAGAGATTAAATAAAACGTTTAAAAAATACAAAAGAAAAACAAATACAAAAGAAAACATAAGAGGATACCTCTGGGGCATTACAGTGCTAAACAATTTCTCATGAAAGATTAAAAAAAAATCACAATCGATAATGAAATATTATGATAAAGTTAAAACTTTTATCAGCAACAATGCAACAGAACTTTCTACAATAATGGAAACGTCTTGGGGGCGCCTGGGTGGCTCAGCTGGTTGAGTGTTTGACTTGGGCTCTGATCATGATCTCGCGGTTTGTGAGCTCGAGCCCTGCATCCATCGAGCTCTGTACTGACAGCTCAAAGCCTGGAGCCTGCTTTGGATTCTGTGTCTCCCTCTCTCTCTGCCCCTCCCCGACTTGTACTCTGTCTCTCTCAAAAATAAATAAAAATAAATAAACATTAAAAAATGTTTTTAAAAAGTAATAATGAAAACGTCTTATGTCATCACAGTGAATACAGTAGCCACTACTAGTCCCATGAGGCTACTGAGGAACTGAATGTATAATCCCATTTAACTTTAACTAAATTGAAACTATATTTAATTTATATTAGTGACTGCTTTACTGGACATCATAGTTTTATATTAAAAACATACCATAAAGACAAAGATTAGGAGATCTTCAGAATAAAACAAAGGGTTAGTATTCTAAGCATATTTTAAATAAATCCTAAAATCGAATTAGAAAGATAAAATGATCCCAGAGAGAAATTGGTAGAGGCTATGAAAAGGTTATTCACACATAATGCAAACTGAAAGATCACTTAACAAAAGAAGGTAACCTCACTAGCTGCCAAGGAAATGCAAGATGAAACAGTAAGACACCATTTTCACACCCATCAGATAATAACAAGCATCCAAAGAATAAGGAAAATGGAAACTCCCACACTCTGCTGGTGTGAGAACAATTTTGCAATAGTTAGTAAAGTTGGAAAGATGTGTTTTATGCTCCAATTCTACTTCTGGATATGCACCCTAAAGACTCACACATACGCGCAAGAAGTCATTTATAATATTCACTACAGGACTGTTTTTAAACAGGGGTGGGAGGTACAACCTAAGTGCCCATCACTAAGGGATACATGAATAAAATAGTATGTATACAGTAAAATACTATGCAGCAACT